TGTAAAAAAAAAAAAAAAAAAAAAGATAAATTTACATATGAACATCCACACAGAGAAACAGTAAACAGAAATACAGAGGCTGACCATGAGGGGAAGTGAATATGGTTGCTACGAGGGGTAAACATCACATAGTATGCTAAGCAGCCTGAAAACCAAGGAGAAGAGGGAAATCATAATCATTTGGAAAGTATGGGATGGAAAGAGTCACACAGAAATGAGGACAAATCCAGACAGACCCTGGCTAATTCAGCTGTCCTCCCCGTGTCTCAATTTCTTTCGTGGAGAAAATGGGGAAAAATACCAACTACTCCACAGGGAGTATCATGGCCCCGTGTGCACACTTAAAGAATATGCAAACAAAACCTGTCTTCCTTTCCCCATTTTCTTTCTCATTAGCAAAGGAAACTGCAAACTAGTTTCCCAGGGAAGCAAAGTTTGCTTGGCCTTAAACTCTAAAAGAAATGTTTGTTACAAAGCACTTTAAGAAGCTTTAGCAAAGAGAGCAATACCTCAGATTACGGTTTTACAGCAAGCAAAGCTAGGGTTTGTCAAGGCGGTATCTGACAACTTCCCAGGGTACCCAGGAAGAGCTTAACAAACATTGACCAAATGACCTGTGGAGAAGCTGCACAAAGACCACACAGCTGCCTGTGTCTGGAGGCAGGAGGCCCTGTTTAGTGGCTGGCTGTCTGCAAGGGGGCTGATCTCATCCTAGTAAAGCAGAGAAGTAAAATACAGCAACCTGACAGCTCACACTGGATTGACCAGCTAGTCACTAACAGCAGGCTGCTGGGTGTGATGGTATACACCTGTAGTCCCAGTACTTGGGAGACTGAGGCAGGAGGATCACTGTGAGGTCAAGGCCAGCCTGGGTACATAATGAATTCAAGGCCAGCCTGAACTAAATGCAAGACCTTGTCTCAAAAAACAAAATGGGACAGGGATTTAGCTCAGTGGTGCTGCTGCCACCTGCCTCACAAGTGCAAGGTCCCTAGTTCGACCCCTGATACAAACAAACAAACAAACAAACACCAAACCACCAAGTACAGCAGATCGCTATCCTTTCATACACAAGCACAAGGCCCCAAGCATCTTCTCCTAAAACAGCAAGGTGGTAATCTTGAAGCACCAGACATTTACTCTTCAAAACTCTAAACTAACCACACATCCTCTATGACGGCCTCGTCTCGAAAACCAAGTTAGTTCTCCTTAACCGGATGAGCTGGTTGGGAAGACACCTGTGTAGTGTTTAAAGCAGGCCTCCAGACAGGGAGGATGTACAGCTATGGACAGTGGCCATGTGCTCATAGGGGTCATCCAGGCCCGCCCTCGAATTTCCCACCTGTCTACAGCGTGCGAGGCCCTGGAGCTCCGCCTGGCCCAGCAGTACATGGGAGCAGATGAGCCGTTCTGTGTGGTGAGTCGGATTGAGGTGGCACAAAGCGGAGCAAACCGACTACACCAGGAGAATAAGCTGGGTCCACACCAATGAAGAGAAGACAAGGTGCATGAGGAAGGCACAAAGCACCATGCCCTGAAAAGCCCCCAGGAAGCCTGGAGGGCTGGAGCTGAGTATGAGGAATGTCAAGGCCAGAGAGAGGCAGATAGGGCAAACAGGACCCAGATCCCCAAGGACCTTGTATATACAGAGAAACTTTCTTGCAAATTCCATAGGCACAACCAAGAGCAAGAAGCAGCAAGTGGCCTGTAATTCCAGCATTCTGGTAGACTAAGGCAGGAGCATTGTTAAATTTGAGCCCTACCCCTACCCAGGCAACTTAGCACCAACAAAAACAAAAAACAAAAAAATACCAAGTGATGTGGTTAAGCTCACACAGCAAGCTAGTGCAAAGCCAGGCATGGAACCCAAGCCTCTTGGTTCCCAGAGTCCAATTCTGTACCTTGGTGTTTCTGGAGCACTAGCAGCCAGGGGAAGCCAGCAGAGAGATGGCTGGGGAACCGGCAGGCAGGGCCTGGCCAACCCACAGCAGAGGCTGTGCTGTCCCAGTCATTTGGCAAGTCACTGCCTACAGAAATGCCACTTCCTAACTCACTGTGCTTCTCTGCAGTGGCCAAAGCCTGGGCAGAACAAAATACAGTCTTATAACAGGAGGAAACATCCAGAACCAGACTGAGGTCCTGGAAACAGACTAGGATCTGGGAAACAAGCCCCAGAGGGGCCTCTGCTCAATGCAGATGCCAATCAGGGCTGGGGCCAGAGAAGACTCAATTTCCAAGCCAGGAGCTCACATCCAGCAGGAGAGATAAACCAGGCCCAAAAGTAACTATAAAATAAGGCAGACAGTGATAAGAGCCACACAGATAAAGCACAGCGGGGACTCAAAGCTGAGAGAGGAGTCCAAGTTGAGCAGCAGGAGATGAAGGGGAGCATCTGCGACTTCCCTCCCACAAGGTAGGGGGCTACCCTGTCAGCTCGGGTGACTCTCAGGTGGGGACAGGGGATAAAGGAAGATGCCCCCTGAGGTCTTCTTTGAAGAATCTAGACTCAGGAGAAGAGGTGGCAGGCGGGCCCAGTATTGCAGAGATAAGGCAGCGAGGAGGATGGGAAATCTAGGATTTCCAAGCAGAATATAAGTCAGTTGGAAAAGGGACAAAGCTGGAGGACTTGCCTTGAAATGGCCTCTGTGCAGCACGCACTGTTTACTTGGGTTGTCCATTTAGAATGAAGAGGACAGGGTTCCTGCACCTCGGGGGAGGGGACACGAAAGTTTCCCTCTCCCCACCCCCTGCCCTCAGCCCCGCCACTGACGGGGAGGATGCCGGGTGGGTGAGGGGAAGCTGCTGGGGACCTCCCAGC